GACGGTGGAGGTGGCCCGTGCGCTCGCGGACCGGGGCCGCAAGACCACTCCGGAGCCCACGTCCACCGGCAGCCCCCGAGGCGCCGGCGCGGGGGGCCGCAGATCCCCGTGTGCTCGGCCGTGCGTGTGCCGGTGTCCGTGCCCCCCGGGACGCCCCCGATGCGGAGTCTGCCGCAGGCACCTTGCTGCCCCCCGGACACAGAGGGGCGGGGGTTCGCGCTCTGTGGCATGGGCCTCCGCTGCCTGCCACAACCCTTGGCGTTACAGACCGACCATGTGGACGCTGGTGGGCTGGGCCGCCCTGGTGGCAGGGCTGGTGGCTGGAACACGGTGCCCAGATGGCCAGGTCTGCCCAGTGGCCTGCTGCCCAGATCTCAGAGGAGCCAGCTACAGCTGCTGTGACCCAGGGGTGGTGAGTCCTGCGGCCCAGCGAGCCTGGCTTCAGGGTGGCCAGGGAGGCGGCCGGGAGCCCCGCTGAGCCCCCCTTCTCTGCCAGGACACATGGCTCACAGCCCTGAGTGGGCACCTGGGGAGCCCCTGCCAGAGCTCAGGCCACTGCTCCGCCGGCCAGTCCTGTGTCCTCACCACCTCGGGAACTTCTGCTTGCTGCCCGTTCTCACAGGTGAGGGTGCCAAGGCTGCTGGGGGGTAGATCTGCCCTCCCCTAGCCTGGACCCCCACCCAGCATGGGGCCCTCGCCCACGCAGGTTTCTGTGCCCCACAGGGCCTGGCGTGTGGGGATGGCCGTCACTGCTGTCCCCACGGCTTCTACTGCAGCTTTGACGGGAGGACCTGCATCCAAAGAGCAGGTGTGGCCCGGGGGCGGTGGGCAGGGCAAGGGTGCCCGGTGCTGTGTGGCCTGGACTCTGGCCCTTGCGCCTTTGCCCGTGTGTTTCTGTGCTGAGCGCCTCCTGCTCTGACCCAGTGGGGACCAGAGGGACACAGGCTCAGCTGCTTGGGTGGGAGAGGCTGTGTGGCTGACCTGATCCCTACTTGGTGGACGCACCCTGGCATCTTTACAGCCAGGGGCTGGCTTGTGGGGAGCGCGGGTAGGCTCCCTGGGGAGCCCCAGTGGCTGGGGACACTGTTGATGACATCTCCACCGTCCTGTGTGCAGGTGGCCCCCCACTGGGTGCTGTCCAGTGCCCAGGTGGTGAGTTGGAGTGCCCCGACTCCTCCACGTGCTGCCCCACACTGGACGGCTCCTGGGGGTGCTGCCCCATGCCCCAGGTATGGCCGAGGCCGGTGGGGGTGCGGGGGGCAGGGTGGGGCCAGGGTGGCTCAGGACTGGCTCTTCCCAGGCCTCCTGCTGTGAAGACAGGGTGCACTGCTGTCCCCACGGGGCCACCTGCGACTTGGTGCATATCCGCTGCGTCACACCTGCGGGCACCCACCCCCTGGCCAGGAAGTTCCCCGCCCAGAGGACGAACCGGACAGGAGCCGAGGGGGCGCGTGTCAGGCTGGGCGCCATCCTGTCGCAAGTGCTGTCCCCCGCCCCTCTTCCCACCTCAGTCCTGTGCCCTGACGCACGGTCCCAGTGCCCGGATGACACCACCTGCTGCAAGCTGCCTGACGGGGAGTATGGCTGCTGCCCGATGCCCAGCGTGAGTGAGGGTGGAGCTGCCCACTGGCTGGGTCCTGAGGCCCGTGCCCCCGCCTGCACTGTCACCAAGCCCACCCGTCCCCACCCAGGCCATCTGCTGCTCCGACCACCTGCACTGCTGCCCCCAGGACACAGTGTGCGACCTGAAGCAGAGCAAGTGCCTGTCCCAGGACAAGGCCACGGCCCTGCTGACCAAGCTCCCTGCATGGACAGGTAGTGGTGACCCAGGCCCGCCACCTGTATCATCTGGCTGTTCTAGGCGACGGGGGTGGCACTGATGGGCTCCGGCACCAGGCCCCCCCGCCCCCCGGCTCAGGATGGCTGCAGGGAGGCGCATGCTGGGCCCATTCTCGAGGGTGGCCCGGGGTCCCCGGAGCCATTGTGATGTGGCTTCTGCCTGCCCACAGTGCGGGATGTGGAGTGTGACCAGGAGGTGAGCTGCCCGGACGGCCACACGTGCTGCCGCCTGCAGTCGGGCGCCTGGGGCTGCTGCCCTTTCCCGAAGGTACCCAGGGCCCGGGTGGCGGGTGGCGGGTGGTGGCAGGCAGCCAGCAAGGCCTGTGCCCACTGTCTTCTGCCCCCGAGGCTGTGTGCTGTGAGGACCACGTGCACTGCTGCCCGGAGGGGTTCACATGCCACACGGAGAAGGGTACATGCGAGCAGGGGCTGCTCGGAGTGCCCTGGGCACTGAAGTTTCCGGCCCACGCCAGCCCCCTGGAGAGCGATGTCTCCTGCAAAGACATCACCAGCTGTCCTGCGGGCAACACCTGCTGCCGCCTCGCTTCTGGGGAGTGGGGCTGCTGTCCCACCCTGGAGGTGCGTGGGGAGGGAGCCAGGGCAGGGGGCACCCTGAGGCCTGGGCCTTGCTTGGCAGCACCAGCTCTGACAGCTGAGCTAGGGCTGTGAGCCAGACATCACTGCACCCCAGAACCCCCTTTCTGCCCACTCAGGCTGTCTGCTGTGCCGACCGCAAGCACTGCTGTCCCCAGGGTTACTCGTGCATGGCCGAGGGGCGCTGCCAGATGGGGGACAGGCTAATAGCTGGACTGGAAAAGACGGCTGCCCGCCTGGCGTCCTTGCCCCATGTGGGCAACACTGACTGTGACCAGCACACCAGCTGCCCGGTCGGCCAGACCTGCTGCCCCAGCCTGGGCGGGGGCTGGGCCTGCTGCCAGCTGCCCCATGTAAGCACCCCACCTGCCAGCAGGAGGAGGGACCCCTGCCGAGCAGCCACAAAAATGGGACCCCGCTGCCTCCCCCAGGCCGTGTGCTGTGAGGACCGCCGGCACTGCTGCCCAGCGGGCTACACCTGCAACGTGAAGGCCCGGTCCTGTGAGAAGCTGGCGGATGGCACCCACCCTGCTGCCCACCTGGTGGCCCTGGGCTCCACTGGGGGGGTGTCGGATGTGGCATGCGGGGACAGGCACTTCTGCCATGATGACCAGACCTGCTGTCGAGACAGCCGGGGTGGCTGGGCCTGCTGCCCCTTCCGCCAGGTCAGTGTCACCCAGCCTGGGCCCGGGGACTGGGGGCCAGGTCCTACCTCGGCCAACTCTGTCCCTTACCCAGGGCGTGTGCTGCATGGACCGGCGCCACTGCTGCCCTGTGGGCTTCCGCTGCGGGAGCAGGGGGACCAGGTGCGTCCGGAGGAAGACCCTGCTGCGCTGGGACAGCCCTCTGAGGGAGCCTGCTGCCAGACTGCTGCTGTGAGGGGCGGGGGACTGACACCCTCGGCCGTGGGGACCTGCCGCTCAGGCCTCCCTAGCGCCCACTCTGAACCCACTCCAGGCCCCTGTTCAGGGGCGGGACCGCTCTCTACGCCTGCGCCATGGGAGTGTGTGGCAGAAGCCACCTCACAAGCTGCCACACACCTGACCCCGTGGCCTGGTGCTGCTCTCACCGCGGTGTGCGTGCGAAGCGTGTGTGCTCCAGTAAAGTTTGTACACTTCCTACCCGCGTCTGGCCCGGGCTCCTCGCCACCCCACAGAAAGACACGCGTGTGACCCTCACTGGCTTTATATTTGCTGCCGCCCTCCGCCCCATCCCATGACACCAGTCCCCGGCGCCGCCCCAGCCACACAGCCTGTGACCTCCCAGCCCAGGGTGGCCCTGTCAGCAGACAGCACACCCTCCCCTCCCCGGGGACCCCCAGGTCGCCCTCCTGCGTCCCCCCAGCCCTCCTCCCTGGTGCTGCCTGACCGGGGGCCCCGTGGGGTCGCCCAGCCCGGCGGGTCCGGGACCCCTCGCTACTTGACGTTGAACACCATGAGCGGCCGCTCCTCGCGCCGCTGCCAGGGGCTCTTCTTGTCGCCCGCGTCGTCGCCGGTGTCGGCGCCCAGCTCGTCCTC